TCAAATGTCACGGTCCTGTATCTAATCTCGCAAAGTGCAACGTAAGACCGATGAATCATCAAAGAGTCCAAATCTAGCAAATCGTTTTGGAAAACACATTTTTAGAAAGAAGTGTCAAACATGGACTGCTTTGCCAGATACAGAGTCGCGACCTAAATATTTTATTTTTGGGAAATTTAGGAAATCCTAACTCGTGCCGAAGGCCACGTGTCCGTCATCACCAAAGTTGCCTCGGCTCGGGAACTTGGGTACGATTGGGGAAGGTCACTTCGTGAGCACCCCCGCTCGCCCGATCAAAGATCGGCCTCTACTAACCATGATATCGTGTTTTGAACACATTATGCATTCTTATTCAGGTTATTAGCCTAGATTTACTACGTGATGCGCACAGCATACAAGTATAGACTAGATCGCCTGAATTGGAACAACACATCTCATGTTTGTTTATTTTGAAAATGGTTTGATGGTGCTACCCGCAAGTAGGCTTAAAATGTAGATTTTGCCACCCTCGAGTGGGCTTAGAAAACATGGTTTTGCCACTATCTAGTGGGCTTAAAACTCGCAATGAATGAATTGTTCCAATCCAAGTAATCCAACCTTCACCCACAGGCATTCAGGCAGTTATATCACATAAGAACATAGCCTCATGGTAAGCATGCTATCATGGTAGTCACTCACACACATGCAAGAATGCTAAAACATAAACACTTACCAAGTACTCCAAGCCAAAACAGAAGCTATGTTAGAAATCCATGCATGATCCTAACTATGCTGAAATGCCTAATGCAACACATGCAGGAATGTAACTACAATAGGTTCGGCTATTCTAAAGATGGCATGTGAAATGCTACAACTAACAAGTATTCAACTCGGAATTGAAATACAATGCAGTTAGTATGATGCGCCGAACCCGGTGCATGCAAGACAGATGAATGAATGCAACCATGCTATCATAAGTATGCTAATTGAAACATGTCCTAAACTAACCATCATAAGCTGGTAAATAAAAGGGAGAAAGACGTGGGGTTGGAAGACATACATCACACACACGCACACTTATTACAACAATTGGCCCTCTCTCGGAGGGTCTGAATAAATAATACAGTCCGAATGAATAATTAACTACTCTAGCTAATTAAATATTACAAAAACCCTAATTAATTAACAAATTAACTAGGAAAGCGAATAAACTAGCATGCAATACTACAAGTAATGGATTGCCTCAGCTTTGTTCTGACTGATGAAAGATGCATGCATGCTCGAGTCACTTTTTCGGTAAATTCCATCGCGATGCCTCGCCTCACCCTTATTTGCAATTGATCTCAGAAACTTGCACAAAGCTCCAGAAGGCTGAAACTTCACCTTGGGAAGGCCACCGACCAGTTGTTAGCATGGGAGACCACCTGCCGACCACCCTTTGTGGTAGAGACCAAAGAGGGTGGTCGGCCTGCTAGAAAATCTGGTCGGCCGACCAGTTTCCACCTCTGGTTTTTGGTTTTTTCTACAACAAAGGCAAGAGAGAGAAAAGGCAATGTATTTTCAACAAATGTGTGCACGACCACTCTCCCTATCATTGCACAAGCTCTAGGGAGTGTAGTCCTCGATCCTCGTGCCACCAATCACGCATCTCGATGCATGATGGCCGAGAAGTCGAATTGCACGACTCCATGTGAAATGAATGCACATATAAGCAAGTAAAGGTAACAACTCTATCATGGACAGTCAAGAGTGTCGGCGATCGAGAATCGAGGCACGTTTCGTCACTTGGAGTACGAAACGTCCCTCGTTTCCCGTGTTCGGACTAAACCCTACTCCAAACACAAAGCAATGAGATGGCATACACAATGCGACGAACATGCAACCTAGCATACGCAATGCTATGGGCTAAAATAGCATACACAATACACGTGACATAACATGGCATACACAATGCACTTATGAAGACTATCATGCGCACATGAACTAAATAGCATATACAAATGCAAGATGGACTTACACCAATATGAGTGGACCTCAGCCACACTCATATCAGTGGCCATATGATGAAAATGAGACAACCGAAATACATGCAAACATGTACGGATGCAAAAGGCCGATCTTAAGACACAACATGCAACTTTAACAAAGCATGGCAAATAATGAAATATGGCATAGAATGGCACATGATCCAGCTCTGAAATATGATACACAATGGTCCTGAATCATGCAAACACTTCACACGATGCATGCTAAATAACCCGAATACCGAAACTAGTGAAGTGCGTTACACTAGAGGTGCACAAAGCAATGCACAAATGGCAAAACCATCCCCAAACAGACCCTAGGCAGGTCCAAGACAGTGGGAAAATGGCCTAAAATGATGGCTCAAAGTGCATGGAAATGAAACTCATTCAATGATCCGAAAACGAGACATTTATGCACAACTCTCAAACGCATTTAAAGAGTGGAAAACATGACAATATGGCATGCATGCAAGCTCTGGAATATGATGTGCAATGGCCTCAAAACATGAAAACACTTCAGTATATGCATGTAATAAACCTCGAAACTCAAAGCTAAGCATAGATATTGAACTACAAGCATGGAAAATAAGCATCATTCGACCATGAGACCCAAAAACAGAGCTGAGGCAGTCCAAAATATGCACAAAATCAGTTTAAAGCATGGCCAAAAAGTGCTAATATGAAGGGCCAAAACAACATGCAACATAGGCTAGTAAGCATGGTTTACACTACATGTATATGAAGCACATGAGAGGTTACCAAACCAACCAAAAACAGAAACATGGCATGCCAAAATATGACCAAAAACCCACTGAAACTCAGTCAACACATGTTAGAATGAAGTGTTCCTTTGAAAGGCCAATGAGAGGGTTGTTCTACACATGTATGATGGATACACAAAATGGAAAAACTACCTCTGGATAGAGGTTATGAGGGCCCTAAAACTCACTAAAAATTGCCTAAAATAAGTCTAGGAAGCATGCAAGTAAAGGCCCCTTTGGAAGGCCTTGAAGAGGATTACTCTACACATGTATAATAGACATTCAACATGGCAAAAAGGGCTATGGACAGAGCCTATGAAGGTCACAAAACTCACAAAAATTGGCCTGAAACATGGCTTTGAAACATGAAAATAGGGGCTCCTTTGTAAGGCCAACAAAGCTAGTAAACAAAACAAGAGGTGAGAGGGTCACCCCTCTCTGATTTTGAGGCTCAAAAACACATGTTAGCCACTGAAAATCCGCTGGATTTCAGTGGCTAAAAGGCCAAACCAAGGCCAACACAAATGCTCTAATGCATAACTTAAAACAAGATGAAAACAAGCATGCAAGGGGGTAGATGACCCCCAACAGAAAAATGACCTGAAACAAACTTCAAGAGGAGCTCAAAATAAGACTTTTTTTTCAGTTTATGACAAAGCCTAAATATGCTTGCAAATAGAGCTAAACTATGAAGCAAAATAAGGCTACAAAGAGGGAAATAGAGACTTACCCTTGTAGAGAAGAAGGTCAGCTGCTTCTGGACCAAAATAGGAACTCTTCAACCTCTGAAAATGAGCTCCTAGGTGCTTAGGTTGACCATGGAGGTGTTGTTCTTGGAGGTGTAGTGCAAAGGGTCCAAGAACTATGGACTTCTGAAGCTTGAAGTAGAGAGATATGGAGGGAAGTGTATAAGCTTTAGACACAAAAATCTCAACCCTTGCAAGTGGAGAGGAGGGTCTCTCCTATAGAAGAAGAGGTCCAAGGCCTCTCTTAGAAGCTTGGAGCAAAGGGGCCAAGCTTCTAAAGGAAGCTAAACCAAAAGGGTCAAGCTTCTTGAGAAAGCTAGACCAAAGGGGTCAAGCTTCCTCAAGAAACTAGACAAAAGGTCAAGCTTCTCTTAGAAGCTAAGAGTAAAGGACCAAGCTTCTTTAAGAAGCCAAAACAAGAGGGTCAAACCTCGGAGGATGGAGCAAATGCCTCCCAGCTGGCACAGCTGGATTGCATTCAGGGAGACCAAAAAGCAGAAGGCTGGCCGACCAGTTCAAGTAGTCGGCCGACCAGGGGTCAAAAGGGTCAATCTCAAAATGTGGTCGGCCAGACCATATTGGTGGTCTCCCAGGTGAATACAACTCAGTGGTGGTATGAGAGACCAGAAAATATGGCTCAAAAGTAAGGGAGACCACCTACCTGTCAAGAAAAACCAGCCGACCGGGAAAGGTGGTCTCCAAGAAGAAAAGGTGGTCTCCCACCCTACTACCACCTTCCTAACAATGAAACTAGGGTCCATGCCAAAAATGAACCCACACCGATGCGAAACGAAGGTTCGGGGGCCAAAACGCGCAACCGGGGGCCCCGAAAACTGACTATTACGTATCGAAAGTGGTGTGCGACCATGAAGGTGGTCTCCCGGGCCACAGTGTCCCTCTAAGGAGAGGAAACAAGGTGTGTGCCAAAAACTGGAGCAAACGGAGGTAGTTAAGCGGTCCCGAACCGAGGCACACGGCCGACGACTCCGAAAACAGGAAACTGGTCTCCAAACGGGAAAAATGGCCTACGACCACGAAACGTAGCCTATGGCCACTGAGAGATGGTTTACGAGACCTCTCCCTCCCTTCAGGAAGAGAAAACAGAGAAAACAGGACATGGTTCGTGTTAGAATTTACCATCACCTACCACCACTACCACCTCACCTGCTCCACTAAACCTAACCCACTACACCACTACCACCTCACCTACTCCACTAAACCTAACCCACTACACCACTATCACCATCCACTACACACCATCCACTACACCTACATCTATATAAGGAACCATTTGTAATAGACAGATAATAAGATCAATATATCAATCAATAATACAATTCTCTATTTCTCTTTATACATCATTTTTTACATGGTATCAGAGCAGGTTTAGAACCTACTATTTTTCGCTTCCCCGGCGGGCGGCAACCGCACCTTAGCCGTCCGCCGGACCTCAACCTAGTCCCCTAGAATTTTTTACACATACCTTGATATTTCTTCGAGTCCACCACCTTCACGCCCAACTCCTTCGAGTCGCTGTCCTTGACTCACCTAGTCAACCCATCACCACCAATTTTATTCCTTGAAGCTTCCTCTGTTCTCGTCCCATCCCAGTCTCTGCATTTCACACAACACAAATTAAAAGAAATCCAATTCTTGTCTCTCTCTCCTCTTCTATTCTGTTCATCGACGAGCCATGACTCGCCGAAGCTCCGGTGGAAGATCAGCACCTCGTCGTCCTGCACCAGTGCGTAATCCCCCTCAGCCAGCAAGACAAGCTCCTCCTCCAGCTCCTGTTCAAGGTGGCAGTGGTGGATCCATACTTGGAGGCCTTGGTGCTACAATAGCTCAAGGCATGGCATTTGGTACTGGCAGTGCTGTGGCACATAGGGCTGTCGATGCAGTGGTGGTTCCTCGCACCATTCAACTCGAAACTGTCGTCTCCGAAGCAGCTTCTGCACCAGCACCTGCTACAAACAGTATGGGTTCTGATGCTTGCAGTGTGCAGTCCAAGGCATTTCAGTAGGCGATCACGTGGTTACATTCATGTTTTCCACTGCCTTTGTCCCCTTTTTTGCTTCCATTCCCACTTCTTTATTTATTTTTAATCAATTTTTATGTGACTTTCGCCACCACTTTTGACCCAACACTTTTTCATCCCATCTTTTGAAATGCTACAACTAACAAGTATTCAACTCGGAATTGAAATACAATGCAGTTAGTATGATGCGCCGAGCCCGGTGCATGCAAGACAGATGAATGAATGCAAACATGCTATCATAAGTATGCTAATTGAAACATGCCCTAAACTAACCATCATAAGCTGGTAAATAAAAGGGAGAAAGACGTGGGGTTGGAAGACATACATCACACACACGCACACTTATTACAACAATTGGCCCTCTCTCGGAGGGTCTGAATAAATAATACAGTCCGAATGAATAATTAACTACTCTAGCTTATTAAATATTACAAAAACCCTAATTAATTAACAAATTAACTAGGAAAGCGAATAAACTGGCATGCAATACTACAAGTAATGGACTGCCTCAGCTTTGTTCTGACTGATGAAAGATGCATGCATGCTCGAGTCGCTTTTTCGGTAAATTCCATCGCGATGCCTCGCCTCACCCTTGTTTGCAATTGATCTCAGAAACTTGCACAAAGCTCCAGAAGGCTGAAACTCCACCTTGGGAAGACCACCGACCAGTTGTTAGCATGAGAGACCACCTGCCGACCACCTTTTGTGGTGGAGACCAAAGAGGGTGGTCGGCCTGCTAGAAAATCTGGTCGGCCGACCAGTTTCCACCTCTGGTTTCTGGTTTTTTCTGCAACAAAGGCAAGAGAGAGAAAAAGGCAATGTATTTTCAACAAATGTATGCACGACCACTCTCCCTATCATTGCACAAGCTCTAGGGAGTGTAGTCCTCGATCCTCGTGCCACCAATCACGTATCTCGATGCATGATGGCCGAGAAGTCGAATTGCGCGACTCCATGTGAAATGAATGCACATATAAGCAAGTAAAGCTAACAACTCTATCATGGACAGTCAAGAGTGTCAGCGATCGAGAATCGAGGCACGTTTCGTCACTTGGAGTACAAAACGTCCCTCGTTTCCCGTGTTCGGACTAAACCCTACTCCAAACACAAAGCAATGAGATGGCATACACAATGCGACTAACATGCAACCTAGCATACGCAATGCTATGGGCTAAAATGGCATACACAATACACGTGACATAACATGGCATACACAATGCACTTACGAAGACTATCATGCGCACATGAACTAAATGGCATATACAAATGCAAGATGGACTTACACCAATATGAGTGGACCTTAGCCACACTCATATCAGTGGCCATATAATGAAAATGAGACAACCGAAATACATGCAAATATGCACGGATGCAAAAGGTCGATCCTAAGGCACAACATGCAACTCTAACAAAGCATGGCAAATAATGAAATATGGCATAGAATGGCACATGATCCAGCTCTGAAATATGATACACAATGGTCCTGAATCATGCAAACACTTCACACGATGCATGCTAAATAGCCCGAATACCAAAACTAGTGAAGTGCGTTACACTAGAGGTGCACAAAGCAATGCACAAATGGCAAAACCATCCCTAAACAGACCCTAGGCAGGTCCAAGACAGTGGGAAAATGGCCTAAAATGATGGCTCAAAGTGCATGGAAATGAAACTCATTCAATGATCCGAAAACAAGGCATTTATGCACAACTCTCAAACGCATTTAAAGAGTGGAAAACATGACAATATGGCATGCATGCAAGCTCTGGAATATGATGTGCAATGGCCTCAAAACATGAAAACACCTCAGTATATGCATGTAATAAATCTCGAAACTCAAAGCTAAGCATAGATATTGAACTACAAGCATGCAAAATAAGCATCATTCGACCATAAGACCCAAAAACAGAGCTGAGGCAGTCCAAAATATGCACAAAATCAGTTTAAGGCATGGCCAAAAAGTGCTAATATGAAAGGCCAAAACAACATGCAACATAGGCTAGTAAGCATGGTTTACACTACATGTATATGAAGCACATGAGGGGTTACCAAACCAACCAAAAACAGAAACATGGCATGCCAAAATATGACCAAAAACCCACTGAAACTCAGTCAACACATGTTAGAATGAAGTGTTCCTTTGAAAGGCCAATGAGAGGGTTGTTCTACACATGTATGATGGATACATAAAATGGAAAAACTACCTCTGGACAAAGGTTATGAGGGCCCTAAAACTCACCAAAAATGGCCTGAAATAAGTCTAGGAAGCATGCAAGTAAAGGCCCCTTTGGAAGGCCTTGAAGAGGATTACTCTATACATGCATAATAGACATTTAACATGGCAAAAAGGGCTCTGGACAGAACCTATGCAGGTCACAAAACTCACAAAAATTGACCTGAAACATGGCTTTGAAACATGAAAATAGGGGCTCCTTTGTAAGGCCAACAAAGCTAGTAAACAAAACAAGGGGTGAGAGGGTCACCCCTCTCTGATTTTGAGGCTCAAAAACACATGTTAGCCACTGAAAATCCGCTGGATTTCAATGGCTAAAAGGCCAAACCAAGGCCAACACAAATGCTCTAATGCATAGCTTAAAACAAGATGAAAACAAGCATGCAAGGGGGTAGATGACCCCCAACAGAAAAATAACCTGAAACAAACTTCAAGAGGAGCTCAAAATAAGACTTTTTTCAGTTTATGACAAAGCCTAAATATGCTTGCAAATAGAGCTAAACTATGAAGCAAAATAAGCCTACAAAGAGGGAAATAGAGACTTACCCTTGTAGAGAAGAAGGTCAGCTGCTTCTGGACCAAAATAGGAACTTTTCAACCTCTGAAAATGAGCTCCTAGGTGCTTAGGTTGACCATGGAGGTGTTGTTCTTGGAGGTGTAGTGCAAAGGGTCCAAGAACTATGGACTTTTGAAGCTTGAAGTAGAGAGATATGGAGGGAAACGTATAAGCTTTAGACACAAAAATCTCAACCCTTGCAAGTGGAGAGGAGGGTCTCTCCTATAGAAGAAGAGGTCCAAGGCCTCTCTTAGAAGCTTGGAGCAAAGGGGCCAAGCTTCTAAAGGAAGCTAAACCAAAAGGGTCAAGCTTCTTGAGGAAGCTAGACCAAAGGGGTCAAGCTTCCTTAAGAAGCTAGACAAAAGGTCAAGCTTCTCTTAGAAGCTAAGAGTAAAGGACCAAGCTTCTTTAAGAAGCCAAAACAAGAGGGTCAAACCTCGGAGGATGGAGCAAATGCCTCCCAGCTGGCACAGCTGGATTGTATTCAGGGAGACCAAAAAGCAGAAGGCTGATCGACCAATTCAAGTGGTCGGCTGACCAGGGGTCAAAAGGGTCAAGCTCAAAAGGTGGTCGGCCAGACCATATTGGTGGTCTCCCAGGTGAATACAACTCAGTGGTGGTATGAGAGACCAGAAAATGTGGCTCAAAAGTAAGGGAGACCACCTACCTGTCAAGAAAAACCAACCGACCGGGAAAGGTGGTCTCCAAGAAGAAAATGTGGTCTCCCACCCTACTACCACCTTCCTAACAATGAAACTAGGGTCCATGCAAAAAATGAACCCACACCGATGCGAAACGAAGGTTCGGGGGCCAAAACGCACAGTCGGGGGGCCCGAAAACTGACTATTACGTATCGAAAGTGGCGTGCGACCATGAAGGTGGTCTCCTGGGCCACAGTGTCCCTCTAAGGAGAGGAAACAAGGTGTGTGCCAAAAACCGGAGCAAACGGAGGTAGTAAAGCGGTCCCGAACCGAGGCACACGGCCGACGACTCCGAAAATAGGAAACTGGTCTCCAAACGGGAAAAATGGCCTACGACCACGAAACGTAGCCTACGGCCACTGAGAGATAGTTTACGAGACCTCTCCCTCCCTTCAGGAAGAGAAAACAGAGAAAATAGGACATGGTTCGTAAATTGAGGCAAGGCATGAAAAGGTTCCGAAGCCCAGAGGCAAGGCTTTCAGCCGAGACTTTGCAACCTCCGAACGAGCACAATATGCAACATCACCGAGCGCTCAGTTAGTGACGTCTGAGTCTTAAGGTCGGTCAAAAATGGGGTGTCTACAGCAATGCAAGTCTGTTTGGAAGATTCCCAAGATACAGCCGCCCCACCAATAGTAAAGACATACCCACTGGTGGACTTCGAGTCTCTAGTATCCGATATCCAATTTGCATCATAGTATCCTTCAAGTACTACTGGATATCTAGTATAATTCAGCCGAATATTACGAGTAAATCGAAGATATTTTAGAACCCTTATAATTGTTTTCCAGTGTTCTACTCCCGAGTTACTCGTATATCTACTTAATTTGCTTACTGCATAAGCTATATCTGGACGAGAGCAGTTCATCAAGTACATTAAGCTTTCAATAATTTGGGCATACTCTAATTGAGAAATACTTTCTTGTACATTCTTAGAAAGATACAAATTAACATCTACAGGAGTTCTAATAAGATGATCATCATCTTTGCTGAATTTGTCTAGTATTTTCTCAATGTAATGAGATTGTGACAAAGCATATCTTTCTGATGTTTTGGTAATTTTCATACCAAGAATTGCATTAGTAATGCCCATGTCCTTCATGTCAAAATGTTTATTCAACATTTTCTTAGTAGTTTTAATCATATCATTATTACTACCAATGATGAGCATATCATCTACATAAAGACATACAATAACATAACATTTGTCTGTGTTTTTAATATAAACACATTTGTCACACTCATTAGTTTTAAATCCATTTGACATCATTGCCTTGTCAAATTTCTCATGCCATTGCTTTGGCGCTTGTTTTAAACCATATAACGATTTAACCAATTTACACACTTTCTTTTCCTTCCCTGGAACAGAAAAACCTTTGGGTTGTTCCGTGTAAATCTCTTCATGTAACTCACCATTTAAGAAAGCGGTTTTCACATCCATTTGATGAATTTCTAGATTGTATAGAGATGCAATGGCAATTAGCATTCTAATGGATGTTATTCTAGTAACCGGTGAGTATATGTCAAAGTAATCAAGACATTCCTTTTGTCTAAAACCTTTGACCACAAGTTTTACCTTGTATTTGTCAATTGATCCATCCGCTTTCATTTTTCTTTTGAAAATCCACTTGTATCCAAG